GTGTGTGTGTGTGTGTGTGTGTGTGTGTGTGTGTGTGTGTGTGTTAAATTAAAAACACAGTTACCTTGGCTGGGCAATGTTAATTTCTGCCTAGAGGATCAGTGCATTAATCAGATGAAGCATGTTACTCTGTAATGTTCCCCCTCCTGCCCTTCTCTCTTTCATACCACATCAGCACTTAATTCAGGAATCTCCAGTGGAATGCAAAGCCTTTTAGGCTGGGTGTATCGAGACTCACCCGGTGTGTGTCCTTCTGTGGGAATTGCCTACAAAATACTTGCTATATGCCACATTCCCAAGTCAAAGCAATAGCCAAAGGAAGAAGAAGGTAGACTCTACCAGAGAGGAAAGAAACTCCTACCAGCCCTCTGTTTCTGTATTAGTGTGTCTGACTGGCAGCACCGTGTTTAAACAGTCTCCTCAGGGGCCGACTTGAGTAACCGTGAAAGACAAGGTCAGCTGTATAGCAGTTGTCTTGTGGACTGCCTATGTGGCCGTGTGCTCCATCTTGGCTTGTGTCCAACAATTTGTCTTTACCATTTAAAACAAGGATGTCAAACTCACGTGGTCCCATGCCGGCCAAACCAGGACTGAATGTTTGTGCAGGGCATGTGGACCAGTGGCATGAGGGGTTAGTCTAGCAATCCACAGGCTAGATCACACAGCTCCACGGGCCGGATCTGGCCTGCAGGTCATATGTTTGACGCCGCTGATTTAAAATGTTTTTTGGCAAAGTAAACATTAGATAGTCTTGGCTTAATTTAGAAACACTAGATTATATAACATTTCAGAGAAAAAGATGACAAAAAGCTTAATGCCATCACCTTCAGATGGAAGTGGGATCCCCAGAAGATGCTAGGTTGGGTTTTTACCATTTGTCACTGTGTTCTCACTTCTTTCGTGCCGTGACCTAATAAGGGAGGTTATTTGAATTGCATCAAAATTGTTTTGGTTTTTTTTATAGTCACTGAAATTGTTAGAATGACATCTCCGTTCATCCAGGCTGATGCTGGTCTTCCATTTGGTGTTCACCAATGGGCCATGTGTAGTTGAAAATGAGGTTAAAGTTATAAGTGACCTATTTCTTAATTTGCTGAAACTGCCCACACTTTTCCCACTGTTTTTCTTGTCTGCTTCCAGTCTCTCTTATTGCTACTATTACAAAGAGTCAGTTGTATCCTTGAATTGCTTTGTTTTGTTTGCCTGAGTTGTTGGCGTGGAATCACAAGATTAGTGAACAATGAGCATTTTGTTTCCTTTCTGGAGGTAGGTGACAGCACCCTGTTTACCAGGAATTTGACTTGTCTAGAATGGGGGGGAGTTGAATGAATAGATACTTCTCACATTCATACCTACTGTCCAGTAAGGAAACTGATACTTAGCCAAGATAACCATGGGCTGAATCCTAGAATGTGAGTCAAACCTATTACCTTGTTTTATTTGTGCTTGTGTAAGTGGGGCAGTTCCCCTGTCCTTACCGAAACTGTTTATCTTTAGGTAATGGATGCCTATTATGACAAGATCGTCTGTCCAAAGTCCAGCGGAGCTGCTTTCTTGGCAGTATGTAGGGGAAAGGTAAAGTGTGGACCTTTTGAGACAAGTGTCATCTTATATAGTTCCTTTGGCTATGAGGTTTGCACACACATTGTGCATTCCTACAATCACGCACATGGAAAACAAATAAAGGAATTTGAGTCTGGAAACCCTAGGGTTTTTTCAGATCTGATTTTTGTACACAGCCCCTTCGTGTATGGTTTTACTTGAACGAATGCCTCTCTTGAATATCTCAAAGGGACTTGATTCATGCTTTTCATGTAGTGACGTACTGGTTGCTCACAGAAGAACTTGTTTTCTGATTAGAAAAAAGTTTATGGATGTTTCTGTCAAGTACGTTGAAGAAACATTGTTCAAGACTTGCAGTGTTGCTGCTTAATTTTAAAAATATTAGCAAATATTAGTATGTCCTACATCTGCCTGGGTCCTGCTGCCAATTTTTGTGGTCTCAGCTGCATTATTTTTTCCTGATTTTTACAAATTGTATTGATCTCATTGGGATAGTTTATATCTGCTTTAAATGGTTAGGATGAAGACTTGAAATATACTTGCTGCATCTTGCTATAGTGGCCCTGAAAAGGGAGAGAGCGCTTTACTGTAAAAGTTTAATTATTTGTTATCAGACTTGTCTGGGTTTGAACTGTGCTGATTGCCAAGGCATGAAATGTGTATCAGATAGTGGTTCTGAGAGCAATATGGCCCTGAAGTCAAAGTGTTTGAAATGATTAATGTCTTAGCCACCATCACAATAAGAAAAGAGCAGAGAAAAACTGTTCCTTAAAACCTTTTGGCTAATGTATGTTTGGTGTTAGGAAAGTACTAAGATTAACATCCTGGTATTAGAAGCCAAGAATCCCATTCATACCATTCACAGTATTTCACTAGTTTCAAACTCCACTGGCCAAACATGTAGTTTAAGGAGGGGGGCAAAGGCAAATAGTTCCTTAACTGCTCTGAAATGTCACTTAATTCCTGCCGGTGATCTGAGAGCATTTGTACATCCTCAGGCCAGCGAAGGCTTGGACTTTGCAGATACAAATGGACGAGGTGTCATCATCACTGGACTTCCATTCCCCCCTCGCATGGAACCAAGAGTTGTTTTAAAGATGGACTTCCTAGATGAAATGAGAAAAAAAAGTGGAGGTGCACAGGTTGGTTATTCACTTGTTCACTGTGTCTTTCTTTTGCATGTGATTTTCTTCCAATCTCCAATGGGTCCGGATAACTTAAAAAGCTGTAAGACCTTGAGAATTTGACACCCCTGCTCAGATTCTTTCCTGGGTTCTCTCGATGTTCAAAGTTCACCACTATGTTACAACGGCTGTAATCAAGGGCCAGAAATCCCCTGGAAGAGCTCCAAAGACTTCTATGCATCTGGCAGTTCTTTATCTTCCAAAGGGAATGTCTGGCTTAGAGGGAAATTGGTCAAGCAGCCTCAGCCAAATATATGTTGTTGGCTATATTTAGTAGCACTTTATTCTGAGTCTGTCTTCTTTCTTATTCTGCAGAATAACTGCTAAGTAATCAGCCGCATGGTAAGTGTTGTTGAGTCAGAATTTATAGCCCCTTCTCTTCAGTGACTCTATACACTTTCTACATAACACTGAAGATGATGTCCGTAGCTAGGCAGGGGCTATCTGGAAATAAATACTGCTTCCATTTAGTCAGATGAGATGTTTTAGCAGAGTTCTGCCTGCACTGAACTCTTATGACTCTCACTTTTTTAGGAGTCTGTTTTCAGCACGTATGGGATGGAGGCTTAAACAAGCAACCTCTACATTGCAAATACACTTTACATATTAAAATCATCCAGTCCTTTTTCTCCCACCTGTTTCAGTTTCTGTCTGGGCGCGAATGGTACAGCCAGCAAGCTTCTCGGGCTGTGAATCAGGCCATCGGCAGGGTCATCAGGCACCGCCATGATTATGGTGCCATATTCCTCTGCGACAACAGGTGAACTCCTGGGTTGAGCGGTATTCAATAGAAGTTGCCATGTGTATGCGTCGGTGTTCCTCCATCCAACATGCAGCTGGTATCCTCTCTCTCTGTGTGCTGGTACTGCTAGTTGGAGAATGGCTGAGGAAACATCTTCCCTAAAAAGTAAAAATAACTTGTATGCTGCTTTTCTGCTCTCCCTTCCCAAAGTGTTCTTCCCTTTTGGACTGGAGAAAGAGACTGGTGTCAGTGTTAACAGATGCAGAGTAAGCTGATTGTGTTAATGATGCGTTTGTGCGTGTGTGTCTCCTAATCTTTCTGATGTCAGGATACAAAACTTCTTGAAATGTTTAATACAAACACAGCAGATGTTCCCCTCCTGCTCTGTGTTCATATTACAAGGTAATGAACAGCAGTTGGATTTTTGAGGGAAGGAGAAGCAGGAAAAAGGCTTCCACTGCCAGAAAATCTTTTTTTTTTCCCAACTGAGACTGTGGCTTAAGGCAACTGGCATGTCTCATAGTTTCATAGATTTAGGGTCGGAAGGGACCTAGCAGATC